AGACCCCACACCATGCTTTTATCTAAGTACCAAAATACATTTTTTAGGTGAATCAAATATTTAACCACTTGATATTGGAGAGTGTCTTAAACCCAGCCTTGCTGCAATGGTATAAATAATTAATTGCTGACCATTAATTTTAAATTCAACTACAAGTTGCAGGTATCATCCTGGAGCTTCCCTGAATAGGCATGGAGAATTAACTGTTATGTACAAAGTATTGCAGTATTCAATTGTGGTGACGATGTGGAGTTCAGAAGGCCTTGGGACGAATCCAAGAAGTTAGCTAGGTAGTCACAAAGTCAGCCAGGGTGCTCTGGAATAAGAGGTGCAGCAAAACACACGGTCACACCTGGTGCAGACAAATCTCTTCATCACAGAGTTTTGTAGCTCTTTGCAAAATATATCTGAGGATCAGGACCTAATCTTCAGCATCAGAAGCACTGAAACTGAATGCAGGGTGTAGGTACGTAAAAGATAAAAAATCTTTTGATTGACACAGCTTAATGTCAAATCACAAAAAATATTACAGCTGAATTTCAAAGAACTTACCTTGAGTCTGTTAGGTTAAGTGACATGAAATTGCTGGCATTGGGTTTTATCCTATTAAAATGCAAGAGTATATGGTTTAATCTTACAGTTAAATCATGGTGGATGAATGCCCTGAAGATACTCACCTTTTACTTTTCCTGGGAGGAACTGCATCTAGTGACCAGAGATTTCACTTAACTTCCCCTGAGTTCTGGTGCTCCACTGAGGACCCTCAGGGCTCACTCAGGCGAGCAGCAGTGGGATAGGAATGAGTCTCAGAGCCTGCCTGTGCCACTCCATTCAGCAGTGCCACTTTGCCCGCTTCTTGTTGAGGTCTCCATAGAATCTGATTTGCAAAAGGAGAGGGGGAAATGCCCATGCTGTAAAAGAAAAAGTTCAAAACCTATTCTCACAGTTTTATTTTAATATTATATTAATCCACAGTATTTCTTCAAATTCCTTTGATGCTGGAGATGGTGGTGATGATGTTTTGTTCTGGGGGGAAAGCTCTTTTTCATTCACTTTATTTCAGAAGTTTAAATGTTACTGTAGAATGAGAAGGTTTTCATTACAACCGTTTTTTTTGTTTTGTTTTGTTTTTAATTTTCTTTTTTTGTTTTGTTTGTGACAAGGTCTCACTATGTAGTTCAGACTGACTTGAACTCACTATGTATCCCAGGCTGGCCTCAAACTCATGGCAGTCTTCCTGCCTCAGCCTTCCAAGTGCTGAGATTATAGACGTGTGCTACCACACCTGACACTACAAGCTTTTAGAAAGATTTACCAGTCTCTTAATATGGTGAACTGGAAATCTCAGTGCACTGAGCTATTTGCTTGCCTACTTGACAAAGTACCTATCCCACATAAACTACTACCTACACAGACTTATAAGAAAGAGAATCATCAGAAGTGTCCAAATAAACACGTTGAAAGGTTTGTTGTTTGTTCACAATATTAGAAAAGACAAACCTCCAAGCGAGTCAGGGCAGCTGGACATACCGGCCTAATTCCTGTGCTTCAGATTCATTTTTCATCAGCAACTTGGAGAGGGTGTGCAGAGCCTGATGAGCAGGGCTGGCACTGGAAATCCCCAGAGGGGAAGGTGAGCCTGGAGGTGGAATCAAGGCCAGGAAATGCAACTTCTCCTGAATTCGCTCTGGATCTGGCTTTTTGCTGTTATATTCCTCCCCCCCTTCCCTCCCCTCTCCTCTCTCCTCCCCTTCCCTTCCCTCCCCTCACCCCTCCCCTCTCTCTTTGTAAGGAAGAAAACAGGTTTCCGCCAAACATTTTATGGGGGATCAAGAGAATTAATAGAGCCTGGTTGTTTTAAATTTTAAAAACGCTCTCAAGGAGATTGCCTAATTCCTTATGCCTTATTTTCCCTATAAGTAAATGAAAGCAATAAGAGCTTGGCCACCTAGTAACAAAGAGGCAGATGTTAAAAACATAAAAGGTATTAGCCTCTACATAAGAAATGGATGTGCCAAGTGTTACTTGTTTATTAAGGTGCATGAACACATACAGTTAACCCAGGAACAATTAATACACAGAGTTCAGTAGAATTCTGCTCTTAGAAAAATAGGATGGTCAACTGTGTTAGTCGTGCCAAGAACTCCGAGGAGCTGGTTTCTAGATATCAACACTCCATTCTAAGCTAGGAGATCCCTCAAGGAAAATAAGAGCCTTGAAGTTTGCTTGGTGTCCAAAAAACTTTCCAGCCAGCAGCTCGTTTCCTTTCCTTTTTTATGAATGGCAGTAGTATTATGCTTTGGTCTGCGTTTTCGACCAAGGCCATTCATAAAAATAAAAACAAAACAAAATAACAACAACAAAAATCTTTCTTGTCATACTCTGGAGCCATTGGGTGCCAGAGGCTGGGAAAACATCCTGGCAGCCTTAACCGCAACCAGCGTGGAGAGTATTCAAGGGTCTGTTTGTTTGGTGGTCTGAGAAGTACGAAGCCTGCGTCTCAGGGTAGCTGGTAGAGGTTCTCTGACACGAACTAGGCCTGGAGCCAGGGCTGGCAGAGTTTCAGACATTGTCTTTTCCCTCATTGAAGTGTCGGGATCTAATTCATGGAAAATTGGGCGAGCTGGCAGGCCTTTCAGAGGGTTTCATTGAGCGGCGCTGCGCGGCAGCAGTCAAATGAATACGGGATCCTCGGCCAAAAGGAGGGGGAGCTGCGCTGCAGGAAGCAATCATTCTGCAGGCGTGCGGGCGGATCTGAGAGAGTTGGGAAGTAAACACGAGTACAGGTGTAATCGGCAGACAGAAGAAGAGAAAGCAGAGTAGTCTGTTCTTACAAATGACCCTTGTGAAATAAACACTGTCAGTCTATACGCGTGAGCCCTAGGGGGTAAGAAGTGCTAGCCGTCTTGATTTGATTCCATCACTATCACCTTGATAGTGATGTCATCTGTGCTGTAAAGTCACAGGACGACAGTTTTTTCAGTGAGCAGAAAAATAGCTTGCCATTTATTTTACTTTTATCTTGTCCCTCCTAAGAAGACTGATTTTTTTTTTTTTTTTTTTTTTTCTGGCAGTAGCAAAGTTTCATGAAAGGTAGGAAAAGAAATAGATGAGGCAGAATAAGTTTGGGCCAAGTAAAAATAGGAAAAGATAAAACTCTTGATAATTTTTCTATAACATTTTTAATATGCCAGCAATAAAACATCACATACCACAGAAATTCTTCCAGGAAGGAAAAATAAACACATACTTTTTATATAGTAATTTATCCTAATTTCTGTTGCTTGGAAACCTGTATTAATTTTGTCTCTTTCATTTGTACCATAAAAGCATATCAGCCTCCTGATCGGAAGGTTCAGTTGCATTCACAAGCCTCAGTGATGTGTAAAGGGAATAAGCAAAGTCTGTATCCAAGCATGAGACTGAACTGGAAATAATACATCAAGAAACTGGGGCTTCAAATCCATATTTTATAATGCCAAAGGGTGACAAGTGTTTTCTAATACTGTAATAGAAAATTAATTTAGGCTATAAGAAAAATGTCCCTGAGGTAATTCTCTATAAAAGGGAAAGTTTTGGTCTATATACACAGATAGATGATAGGTAGGTAGATAGATAGATAGATAGATAGATAGATAGATAGATAGATAGACAGACAGATAGATAGATAGATTTTTCAAATGGTACCATCAAGAATGTGAATGAATTCACAGAATTGGAGAAGATATTTGCAAGTCATATATCTGGTAAAGGATTGTATCCAGGAATTAGAAAGAACTCTTCAGACTCCATATTGAAAAGATGAATAATTCATTTTTTAAATGAACAAAGGATTTGAATAAACATCTCACCACAGAAGGTATACAGATGGCCAACATGAAAAATCGCTCAATAGCATTGATTGGGAGGGAACCTCGAATCTAAGCAGTAACATTCAACTTCACACCCAGTTGGATGTCTGTGACAAAAAAGACACATAATAACAAGTGTTGGCACAAATGTAGAGAAATTGGAACTATTGTATATTACTGAAGGGACTGTAAAAGAGTGTAGCTGCTTTGAAAAACCGTCTGGCAACTGTTCAAAAATTGAGGGGAAAGAAAGGATTGACTTGAAATTCCTTCCACTCCTAAGTTATTCAAGAGAAATGACAACATGTCCACAATAAAACTTACAGATGAATGCTTACAATGGTATTAGTCATAAGAGGCAAAAGTTGGAAATAAACCAAATATCCATCAGCTGATAAATGGATAGTTAATATACAGTACATACATACAATGAAGCATTATTTGGTATAAAAGAGGAATAAACAAGTGATGCATAAGTAACCCTTAGCAAATTATGCCAGTGAAAGAGACTAGACACAGAAGGTGGCATATTGTATGATTCTTCCTATATGAAATGTTCAAAATGAGCAAATGTAGGATCAGGAAGTAGATTAATGGAAGTTAGGTATGAGGGGTGCCTGGGGGATGGAAAGAAATGAAGAGTCTCATTAATTGACACAAGGTTTTTTTGGTGAGATAAAAATATTCTAAAGTTAAATTGTGGTAATGGTTGCCCATTCACGGCACACTCCTGAACACACAAAAACCTCTGATAGTCTTTAAATGAGTAAATTGTTTAGTGTGTAGGTTTCTATCTCAGTAAAGTTCTTTTGAAAAAATAAAGTAAAACAGATACTTTCTCAAGTTTTCTAATATGTAGATTTAAAAAAGTGACTGAATTGTATGCTTACTTTGATACAGTGTTGGCACAAATGTAGAGAATTTGGAACTACTATATACCGGGCTTCGATGGGACATTTTTAACTGAGATAACCTTCGTCATATTTTCTTAACAAAGTTATAACTACACCCTTTAACCATTGAGGACCTATTTGAACTTCAGATTTTCTTCGTTGCTTTGAAATCATCTACATGAAAGAATTATATTTAATATTTTTTGCTGTAGACATTTCCTTTTATAACATTCTTTTTTTGTTGTTTCTTCCTTAGCCACAGCAAGTTGTTCAGAAGAAGCCTGCTCAGGTAAAAGATGGTCATTATGATTTTTCCTTTCCAGTTGTTATTAAAAAGTAAAGTAAAATATGTACTTAATAAAAGTTCCCAAATTAAGGATTTAATTAGTATTTTTCTTGATTTGTATATTCTTAAAATGTATCCTGCAGAATTAAGAATATATGTTCTGAGATTGTGTTGAAAAGCACTCCAACTCTAGATTCTCAAAATAATTAAATGTAAATACTTTTAAATGAAAATTTATATGTAAATATTTTCATGTGTAAGTATTTCGTTTTATGTGTTTTGCCAATTCTTAAAAATCAAATTCTGTCCCTTCCATTTGACTGCTCTATTTCTTTGACTTACAGAAGTTATTAATTGCAAATTGTTTCTTGATTTGTGACCAGAAACATCTGCTCATTGAATTAATCAACATTATAGACTCTGTAACATTTGCTGATCTTAAAACATTCCCAACAGGGCTGAGAACCTGCAACATTAAATTATACTAATTTTGCAGATTAGTGAACTCTCAGGACTTGGTTAAATGTCTTTACCATAGTCTCTGAAATTTTTGGCAATATTAAAATTAGAAACCAACTTTAATTTCTTTGTCCCATATGCCTGGAGTTCTTTCTCCTGACTGTAGACTATACATAGAAATATATAAAATCCCTATTTATTGAAGAAATGTAATTTGGGGGAAAACAAAACTGAAGAGTAAATTAATAATGATTGCCCAGAATGTGACCTATTACAGTGTAAGAAGGTCCTGCTGTTCTCTTTCCTTCTAGATTTAAATAGATACCTTAAAGAGCTCGAGGCAGCATCATGTAAAGCCTACTAAAGCAAATTATTAGACAGTGTCATGAGTTATCAAGCGCCTTGTAGTTTTCTGTCATATAATTTAAAATATCTATAGAATCTTTTTCCCTAGAATTCTTTTTAAAAAATGTACTTTCATCCTGTCCCCTTAAGTAAGGGCAGCTGGGAAAAACCATCCAAGCAGTCATTTTAATCTCCTACTTTTAAAGATGCTGCTTGGAAGAAAATTAAAGCTTTTAAACCCATGTAAGGGTCTAGGAGAAATGAATTCAGACAATTGCACATGTGCTTTAACTGGAATAAAAGCTAAGATATTATGAAAAATAAAAATGATTCTCACTGCTGCTTCAAAACTTGATATTTCAAGGAGGAGATCCCAAATATAGTGATACCTTGTTTCATAGACTTAATTCTTTCCGTGTTTCTGGTCACAAAATAAATTGGATGAGAACTGAGTCAAATTTTCCTGTAAGATCAGTATTGAACCTAACAATTGAACTTGATTTGGTTCTCACTCAGTTTGGTTTGTAACCAGAACTGTGGAAAGAATTAGGTTTGTGAACCAAGGTACCACTGGATATTTAGGCTGTGTAAGTAAGAAAACCAGGAGACCACACATTGACAGTTCTGAGCATTTGAGTCAGAGGTACTTCACAGCATTTTCAGTTATTCCATGACCAGTGACCTGCAATACACTAATAACCTCCTGTGATTTGTGAAAGACACTGATTTAGTCTGTATTCTTGTAACAGGGAAGGTGAGTTAAATTAAAAATTAAAAAAAGTCATACATCCTAGAAATATGTAATCTAATTCAGAGCTTCTTATACTGACTACATATTAGAATTGCCTAGAGACTATGTATACACATATATTAATGCCTGGGTGCCACTCAGTGGTAAGGTGGAGCCAGCCTTTGTGAGCCAAATGTGAGCATTTCCTCCAAATTCTGCAGTTAGTGATGGCAAGCACATAGCTTGAAATCCACTCTACTGAGAGTATTTAACCATGGAAATGAACAAATGCTGCAAATCCGGATTTTTTTTTTCCTAGAGAAAAGTTAGTAAACATTTACTTACGTACCAGTGGCACCGCCCTTCATAAATTCTGTTTATTTGCTCTGGAGACCCAACCGTGAGTGTGTACTCTGAGTTCTATACATGATCCTAATGTGCAGCCAGGGATGAAAGATACAGTATTCAGTGAAAACACATAAAAAGATGTTTGAACATTTGTTGAACAAATGACCACAGAATGTCAGATGGATATCAGCCACACAGAGGATACAGATGGATGAGTAGAATGTCATGGAATGGTTTCCTGAAGAGTGGAACTCTATCATTTTTTAAATTTTTGTTATTGTTTAGTTGCAGAAGGAAAAATGAAACCATAAAGAAAAGAAATTATAGATGAAATGAATAACTTATATGAAAGTAGAGTGGTAGAAACAGATACATTCCAAAGACTGATCATTAATTTTTCTGGAACTGTTTGCAAATTAGGCTTCAATTCACCAAGATATATATAAATGAAATCACAATTTTTTTCCCAAGAGAATCAGGAGCCACAAGTGCACGAGATAGACCCTCACTGATCAGTCTGGCTGTTTTTTCAAACCTTACTTCAAATTTATCCTTTAAAGGAGAGGAGCTAAGACTTAAAATTAAAAAAAAAAAAAAAAAAAAGAACATGAGCTCATTGGACTACCTAATTTGTATTGTCTAAAGGATACAGTGATAAATTATATAAACATGAGAACTACATGGAAGTTCATGGAGGATAATGTAAATTTTACACTACATTCAAAAGAATCTCTTCCTTTTCCATCTGTTTTTTTCAAAATACCCTCCCAGATGGCTTTTCCATGTGGCAATCTGGATTAACTCAGGCTCATACCCTTTCTTCATCGAAAGCACTTTGAGGGGTTATGTTCTGATTCTGCTTCGAGGTGATGAAGATTTTAGCCTAAGTAAATATTTTACATGTGAAGAAATGATCTCCACAGTGTGTAAGGAGACCGGTTTTTTGTTCTGGTCCCTTTACTGGGCTAATTAATCTGTCTTTATCCTAATTATACATCTAGGAAATGGATTATAACAAGGCCTCTTCCATAACTCACAAGGACATTATGAGAGATTCAGATGTATATAAACTTCATAGTGGATATTATGTTCTGATTTATTTGAAGTTGCTAAATTGTTCATCTCCTAGGATTGGGAATTTTAAATTCTAATTTAAGAATTTAAAAATTCTAATTATTTCAAATTTTCTGCTGTTTTTACCTTGTGTTTTTTCATTGCATGGTTTTAAAATAAGAATATTTTCTAATTTAGGGGCTGTTGTATACTAATTACTAAATCCTATCGTTAGGACTAACTCAGTCAGTCATGTTTCTTATATGTATGTCACATGTGTACAGAATTACAAAGACTGGCAAACTATGCCATCAAAGTCTGAAACTGCACAGCTTCAAGACTGTCACTTTTTAAAACTAATATACAAAGCATCAAATTTCTAAAGAGACAAATTCAGAATTATGATAGATTTCAGCATCTACATAAACATTTACATCTGTGTATGTAAGTACCTGTGTCTAGAGAGGAATAAATAGGCAAGAGAAGCACTACTGTGGGAATTTGTGTTTGGAAAATGCAAACTTCAAATGTACCCTATAATCCTAATGGGAAAGATAACCATTCCTTAAATGTCTAACTAAGAATATACACAATATTCACGTTAATTTTTTTTAAAATTCCAAAACCAATGAAAGAGTGAACTTTACAATATTTTCTTTTAAATAATAAATAAATAATAAACATTAACTAATTAGAAATCATACAAATAAATAGAAACTAGCTAGCTCTTAGCAATTTGAAGTGTCTTGAGTTCTCATCCATATGGTTCCTATTCCAAACTTTAGAAGGATTAGAGGTAGGTTTTTTGTCCTTTCTTTAAAAAAAAGAAAAGAAAAGAAATACCTTTAAAGTGTCAGGCTATTATTATTGATAGAAGAAACTTGGCTTTTTATTTTTATAAACATAAGTCTATCTTGAAGTTGTAAAAATGGTTTTGCTAGGTTATTGCATGACTTGTTGTTTCTTGATGTTCCATTTTAAGGCTTTAAACTAAGATGTATAATTCAGACACTTTTATTTACGTCAGCTTTACCCAAAGGGAAAACAAATTTTTAAAATCCTAACAGTTCTTCATGGATTCTGTCTACGTTCCTCATTGTTATATAACAACAGAAGCTATTCTTCTGGCAATCAGGGCAGGTACAAACCTATTCTTTTCAATTTCCCAGTGAAAGAACTGGAAAATTTTCAGCTAAAAAAAAAAACAAAAAACAAAGAACAAAATAAAAAACCCCAGACAACTGGAAACAAAGCTTTCAGTTTCAAAGTGAAGACTTCACCTGTGAGTAACATCTTCTGTGGGTGGTACCAAGGCAAAGAAATCTCAGTAAGCCGTGGTTATCTTGGGATTCTGCCCCCCTCTTAAAAAAAATGTTGAATGTTTTTACAGAGACTTCAAGGGCAGTTTTAAGGATGTTTATATTTTAAACAACCTAAACATTGTTTGGAGTAAAATGAGAGATTTCGTTTTTGGACAAGCAAGTTGATGAATTGCAGTCAGCATCTTGTTCTCAAAGAAAGCATTTTTACTGGGGGCTTTTAGTCTAGACACACAAAGAGGGAAGGAAGGAGAGAGGAAAGAGCATTCTCATTCTAACACTCATCTTTTACATAGTGCCTTGGCCAATGCAGTAAATAGTTCATAATAAATCAGACTTGCAAACAGTTACTCGTCTGCTCACTTGGGGAACATAGTGATTTACAACACCTAAGTCATAAAGCGGACTGATTTATTTATTTTCCTACTTATGTTCTTTCAAGCTGGTAAAACATTTTGTGGGGCAGTAAACGTTTGGTACCAACTGGCAAAACATGAAGAATCATATCAAAGGCTTCCTTGAGTGGCACTGTTTTGTTGTATAGGAAATACTTTTTGATTTAACCTCTGACCTCTGACATTGCAAAAGTGAAGCGAAAGGAGAGAGCAAAGCAACAACCAACAGTTAACCCTTGATAAAGTGGCTCAAGGACGTAGAGGCACAGGAAAAGTTGGAGGGCAGAGAAAGCATATCAAGATGATCATTAACTATAAACAGATGAAGTAGTTAGCTGAGCTTACATTTGTAAT